TCCTTGAAGAGCAGTCCTCCAGCCTCGCCGACAGCCACTGCGAGCAGCGTCCCGGCCTCGGACCTGAAGGGGCCGCCGAAGGCGACCCGGGAGCAGGAAGACGACGCCGACGCCGACGCCGACGCACGACGCACGGCGACGCCGACGCCGGACGCCGACGCCGACGACGACGACGACGCCGACGACGCACGACGCCGACGACGCACGACGACGACGCACGACGACGACGCACGACGACGACGCACGACGGCGACGACGCACGACGACGACGACGGCGGCGACGACGACGGCGGCCAAAAATTGACTCGCCCCGAGGCGTGGACCACGCCAGCCGCCGGGCAGGCCCGGGCACCTGCCAGGAGAGCTGCTGCCTCCAGGCCTGCCCCTCCATGTCCTGGCTGGTGCACAGGAGGAGTGCGCGCTCCTCCTCCTCCTCCCTCGTCCTCCTCCTCCTCCTCCTCCTCCTCCTCCTCCTCCTCCTCCTCCTCCTCCCCCTCCTCCTCCTCCTCCTCCTCATCCTCATCCTCGTCCTCATCCTCGTCCTCGTCCTCGCCCTCGTCCTGATCCTCCCTCTCCTCCTCCCACCCCCCAAGCAGCTGTGGCTTAGAGAGGTGGGCTGGAGCGGTTGCACTCCTCCTCGTTGTCGTCGTCGTCCGTCGTCATTCTCGTCGTCGTCCTCCCTCCTCGTCTTCGTCGTCGCCTTCCGTCGTCGTCGTATCGACCTCATGACCACCATCAACGTCACCGTCACAATGTGGAGTGGCCCAGGAAGCGCTCCTCATCCTTCTCCCCCCTCTCCCCTTCATGAGAACGGGGTTATATGGGATTATATGCATGCTGCAGGTGGCGTAGCCACTCCCTGAGCACGGGGTGGGAGCAGCAGCAGGGAGAGGGGGGGAAAGGAGGAAGAGTGAGGGCCACAGTAAAGCCAAGTTGCACCAACGATGCTGCAAGGCACCCTCCCGTCCCCCTCCTCCTCCTCCTCCCCTCCTCCACCTCCTCCTCCTCTCCCACCTCCTCCTCCTCGTCGTCCCCTCCTTTTTTCCTCCACTCCTCCTCCTCCTCCTCCTCCTCATCTCCTCCCGTCCTGTCCTCTCTCCCTCCTCCCTCCTCCTCCTCCTCCTCTCTTCCTCCTCCTCCTCCTCCTCCTCCTCCTCCTCCTCCTCCTCCTCCTCCTCCTCCTCCTTCGTCCCCTGCATCCTTCTTACAAGTATAAAAAAGTGAAGAGAAGGTACGATCACACAGCTCAGAGAGGTGTCAAGCAAGATCTCCCCCTTGGAAAGATACCCGCCCCCTCCGTGCGAAGCGTAGAAGTTATGGCCAAGAACGTCGAGGAAGTCTCTGGCGATAGCCGAATGCTGAAAAGGAACCACCCTCCATCCTGGCACCCGCTACATGTTCAAGTTCCTGGTCTTTCGACTTTGGGGAAATTGAAGGGGCCCTGGGACACACAAATAAATCCTCACAACTAGCAGGATTCCCCATATTCTCTCATATGTTCTTGGTTTTTGTCTTCCCCCCCACTTCCCACATGTTCCCACATGATCTTGGGGATCGACGATTAATTGTGTCGGTGTTTTTCCCCCTTCTGAGATATCTCGGGCGAGAGACCCGTGCCGAGAAGGAACCGTCCTCCGGCTTTGCAGCTGCTGCAAATGTTTTTCAGACGGCCGCGCGCGAGCGCTGCAGCGAGAGCTCTGCTTTGCAAAGAAGCCGCGCGGCGCCAAGGCGATGGTCCGATTTGGAAAACCAACCGTTCTCCAGAGGAGGAGGAGGAGGAGGAGGAGGAGGAGGAGGAGGAGGAGGAGCAGGTGGAGGAAGAGGAGGAGGATGAGGAGGAGGAGGCGCGACGCCAAGGCGGGAGCTCCATTCTGAAAACGGCCCCCCCTTCCATCCTTGGAACGTCTGAGAAACGTCAAGGCTCGGCATCACACGCTGGAGGACATCTGACACCAGATCGGGCCCGCCGCAGCGAAACGCTGAATGGCCAAACGACGAGGCATCATCCGCAAGGAACACGGACGGACGGTGGAGGAGGAAGGAAGGAAGATGGACGGAAGGAGGGGGGGGGAGAGGAGGGAGAAAACGGGGGGGAGCAGGAGGAAGTGTAGAGAAGGGGGAGAGAAACAGCAACGGGACGACGACAGGGAAGAGGACGCGTCGGACGAGACTGCAGGAGGAAACCTTCGGGGAGGGAAGGCACGACGAGCGGCGGAGGAGCAGGACTCTGTTTGTCGGCGGCCGCAGGGGCTGCGGCGCTGGCCAGCAGATTGAAGCACGAGAGGCCGAGGGGGAGGGTGGCGGAGGAGGAGGAGGAGGAGGAGGAGGAGGAGGAGGAGGAGGAGGAGGAGGCGGAGGCGGAGGCAGGAGGAGGAGTGGAGGGAGGAGGAGGAGGAGGAGGCGGAGGAGGAGGAGGAGGAGGATAGGTGGCGGAGGAGGGAGGAGGAGGAGGGAGGAGGATGCGGAGGAAGGAGGAGGAGGAGGAGGAGGAGGGTGGCGG